GTTTGTCTTGTATATTTTTTTCATTCGATCAGATAAGATTTTAAGGTGTCCATATGGTCAAGTTACAACGTACCCCTCAGATGTTATAATGTGTTCCACGGGGCATGTTGTCACATTTCACTTCCATTTTTTGAGGGTAAATAAAGAAAAACGTATACACTGTAATTATGAAACAAAGCGACATATTTGTACTAGACAAGTGTAAAATTACTGTGGATAAAAAAATATATATTCTGAACCCCATGTGGATTTACACAAACTGAGAAAGTCAAAAAGTGTTACTTTGTGCCCCGCTCTCCCCTACCTCTGTAAATAAATACAATATAAATTCACGTCTCGCGCACTTTAATGCCCTTTGAATGTAACGTGTACGTTCCCTTGGAACTGGAATCATGGCGGAATTTCATGTGAAGTCCACTTCGCAGGGCACTTACGGTCGAATGAGACAAAGCTTGAATGCTGCCTGAACAAGAAACCTCCTTACTGAAGTGAAAGTGTTGACTGGTGTCACTATCTCGCGAACGCGCCAGCGGATCTCCACTAAATTCGGGGGATCCCTTCAGCTCGAGGAGCCCTCTCGAACGCCACCCTCCGCGCGTCGGTAGCCCCCCGGGATCGCTTGATCGGTCGGCGCCGGACCGCGAATTTAACCACCCGTAACTCCCGAACTCCGGGGCTATCCACGCGGGGGTGGTCTCATTCGAAAGAGGGCCTCGAGACGTACACTCGATTCGCGTTCGAGAGGGTTCCTCGAGCTGAAGAGATTCCCCGAATTTGGGGCGGATTCGCCGCGCTGTTATGGAGATATGGCCGTTCAAAGTTTCAATGGTTTTCCATATAAGCTTTAAAGCCTTTCTTCCAGGTCGCAAGTAGCAAACAATGGAGCGCTGGACAAACTAAGTAATTACACAATTTCAAGCATTTTATCTGCATTATATGTTCAGCAAAAAAAGCAAGTGGCGCTCGCTGCAGAGCCAAATGGGAGGGGCTAGACCTCTAGCTCCCCCTCGCTGGATCTAGTGGGCGGGACTTGAAGCGCTATACCATGTGGCTGTTAATGTTATTATGGAAGTAAATGCTTGTTTTGATGCGCAAGATGCTGGCATAAATAATATTGGCTTATTTTACTCTAATATTTGTCATGATTATGATTGATTTTTTCATCATGGTCAGTATCGTTTCTGTGACAAACGGCATTACGTAAATACTTTTTTAAAATAATGCTTTATTGTCAACAAATAGCATGTACAATTCCATATCCCACTGTATTACGTAAATACTTGATAAGAACATTACTCACACTATATATGTGTGTTTCTAACACCTTTTTAAACTTTGTATCTATAAACTTGTCATATTATTTTCTCCTTATTAGAATAGTTTCCTCACTTTTGAAGTTGCTTTGGATAAAAGCGTATGCTATGATTATGTAAATTACTAGACTTAGCAGGCAATGTGTAAGCTTACTATCTGTGCACCCCTCTTTAATTTTTGGCCACCGCATTAACGTGTGGGTTATATATGAACTAAACTAAATCATCTGATTAATTGTATTAAATAATAAAGTTAGACTAATTTATGCAATCTGCCCATTTTTGTATGTATATGTGAATGCATGAACTTCAGGCTGGTTGTAATTGTTTTTATTATATTGTCAATTTAAATGGAATATTGACTAATTTTAGATAGACTCAACTTTCATGCTCTGAGATTAGTGAGGCATCCTCTCCAACATTTGGGATAAGATAGATGTAATTTAATAGTCACATACTCCACTGTCCTACAAGTAATGCACTGGATTTATTTGTTTCTATTAACCCAAATTAGCATCTCGCATTGCGATAGCCAACAAGGCATCATCCTCCTTCATCCTTAAGATCTTTGGCAGTTCAATCTTCCCAGCAAAGTGGTGTTGGTTCTCCTCCACCCACTTACAGGCCAGCTGAATGTTTTTCATCACCGCTGAGTCCTGTGTGCAATATAAGAATTCCAATAATAATGTAATTAATATGTACTGCTCATAAACACCTTTATGAAACAGGAAAGTTAAATACATAACCAAGTCAAGCAATACATAAACATTCCCTCTACATACATAGATTCCTGGTGTTGGGGTGATCTCCATGATTTCTACTCAGGTGGAGTGACTTCCATGTCTTCTGGATTTGGTAGTTCTTGTTCCTGGGTGACTAGTTGTTGGACTTGACTGTGGGAAGTGACAAACATAATGTTTTAGACATGCATTGCTTTATTTTTTATATATTACCTGCATACTGGAAATGCACAGTATGGAGGTTTTAATCTAAAGTATACTTATCAATATCATACTTTGTCAGAGGAAATGTCTGAATTAACTGATAGCACCAACATTTCCTGATTATAGGCATCTCAGACTGATAAAAGATAGCAATTGAAAATCGTAGTAATTTTTTTTTATTTTGTTGAAAGTGTTCTCGCAGTCCTTTTTGCTTTACAAATAACCATAAATTGATGCAAACTCACCGCAGCAAAATCAAATGGCTTTGAGAGCGTAACATGGAGTGCATACTAAAAAACAAAAACAAAACTATATTAACAAATGCGGTGTTTAGCACACAGACACAGCTGTACAGCAATTATAAAACCACCTACCATCAACATGAATACCCCGCAATCAATTCCTCCTAGCTGAAGAGGGGCACCCTGTTAATTATAGACAATATACAATTAGACCATATACAATAAATACATTACCATTACGTCCGGTGATTGTTTTTTGTTTTGTTTAAGTCTTTGTTTGTTTAAGTGTACTTGGTTTACTCAATTCACCCATAGTGGGTTATTTGTGACAACTGTGTACTGCATTCTTTCTTAACACTCCCCTACAGATATGAAAAGTTCACAAGCAAAGGAGTTAAAAAGCTGTACCTCAAAATCTGTCAGTACAGACATGTTCCAATGGCTGGGAGAAATATGATTGGCCAGATTTCTAAAGTAATACAACAATAAAAAAAATCTATATTTACGAGCAGTCACATGTAAACAATAACATAACTGATCACATCGCAATAAAAATGTTAGAGCTTTATGTTAGAGCCAGGGGGTTGGTTTTACTATGATTGAATTATAATTATATAATACTGAAAACCATAACTGGCTGAAACATTAAAGTTTGAGCTCAAACAGATCCACTATACATTTCATAATGCGCGACACATTTCAGTTCATGAAGTCGAATGAAAGTACTATTCCATCACTCGTCACACCTGTAAAAAAATAAAATGTTATAGCCAGTTCATTTAAAATGGTTTACATAAGAACACAGACATTTATTTGTGTTAGTATGAACTCCAAACACATGCATGTTATTAGTATGAACACAGAACAGTAGAACTTGAATTGTGCTATCCTCAGGTGAAAACCTGAAAATCTGAATGTAACTCCCATGTCCAAAGTCTTCAGGGTTCATGGAGTCAAAAAATAAAATCTCCCTTGACTTAGGCTTGAGGATCGGTAAAAGAACATGACATTAGAAATTGGTGATGCACAGAAGAAGAAAATTCTTGGCCAAAGCAAAACTGAAGATACTGGACACACTGAGCTAAAATTGATTCTATTCATCTTAAAATACTTTACAACTGTAAAAGGTAATGACTTAACATCTTAACACAGTATGATGATGTGCAGCAAACTTGACCTCAAAATTACTTTTAAAGTTTGGATAAAAGGCTACCAACAAACCTACACCATGAGATGTCTGGTTAGTTTGTGACTTTTATCCTGAAACTTAGGATTTCAGCTGAACATTTTCGATGGCCAAAATTTTGGTGCATCCTTGAGAATTGGACCAATCGAAAGCCCATAATGCACACTTGTGTAATTATAGCCATAACAACCAAAAAGTATAATTACATTATGCATAGAAGGCTAACATATGGAAAAATTTAATTTACACATATAATCCAGTGCCCTGACTCCAATGGGAAGTAACATGAAGTCCTTGGTTGCAGCATCATCCTGTGAGATGAGAATCATGGTGAACCACAGTTATAATGTTTAATATCCTGTATGATTATTGATTTCTTTCACTAACAATTCATATAGCAAAATAAGCAAATCATTCAAATGTGTGTGCCACATATGTTAAAGGATACTAACAGGTAAAGCTGGCTGAGGATCGTTGTTATATGGAGGCAACCACGTGACCACCACATAACTGTTGACAGCAAACACATCTTTGCCCTGAAAAGATAGAAACACATAGTGCAGTGTGACATTAAATATTTTCCGTAACCCCTGAATTACTAAACACAACAAAAGCTATCAAACTGACCTGTGAAGCTGCAAGTGCAGCGATGCGCTGAAAGCACTGATTAGCAATCTGGTAAAAAAAAAAAAAAAAAAAAGGATGAATATTAGTAAAGTTGCAGTCATATCAACCCTATGTCAACGGCAAAATAATGCCTATGAATGGACATTTACCGTTGCCTCTAACTCATCAAAGGCCAAAGACCAAAAGTCACTTCTCTTTAATGTTTGGGCTGGGCTCAGCTGAAGTAAATCCTCACTTGGATCTTTGGCTCTATCCAAGACATAAGTCTAGTCAGAAAAGTAGAAAAGTCAGAAAAGTAGTGTACAATCACAAATAAAAAAAAAACAATTTCTTGATCTAAACTCCTGATGTGAAAACAGGAGCAGTAGAAAACATGAAGTATCATAAAATATTTCCCAAGATAAAGAAGATCCATACTGTTAAATTCAGATGTATTATTGCTTTTTACTTAGTTTTCTGTCACTCGCTGAATTATATTGTTTCCTCTGCTTCAGTTGGTATCTGTGCAGCTGTGCCTGTAGTAAAACAAAACAAAACAAAACAACAACAGTACAGATTATAAGATAATAATACAGATGAGCATTCAATGTTAAACAACTGACAAAATAAACAGCTTAATTAATTTACCCATTACTATCTGACCGTTGTGATCCAACTGCAGCTGAACATATTTGCCCACTACTTTCTGGATGCTGACTTTAGTTTTAATATTGCATTTTGTGTTGTAGTGGTGTAGTATGTTCCGCATCATGAAGATGTGCTGAGAGGGTGTGAGGGTATTCAAAAAATATTTGTTCTTCCTCATGTCTGCAAATAATTGCTCAGCGCACTGGCTGTTAACCCAGCCAGCCAGTTCTGGGACAAGTCCAATCCTCCGAAGGGCATCTCTAGCATCCTTTGTATTCCTCTCATGGAAAATGTCATATAGGGTGTAGTGGTTAGATGACCCAGTGATTGGGTGGCAGTTTCTGTATCTGTTTTCTTTGTTTTGAGCCAAGGTAAATTTACCTTTAGCTTTCCCTCGCCAGCCAGCTGCAGATTGTCTGTGGTTGCTTCAGTCAGCTGCCCCTCGTGTGGATTAAATGGCAATTTTTCAGGCTCCCTCAAGTTAGTATGTGTTGCCAGTCCTCTTGCAAAGTCGAATATGGCTATGTTTGGAAAGTGCTTCCAGCTAAGCAAAATGTCTGCATAGTCTCTGGGACTCTCTGCTCTTAAATTAAATTTTATGGAGTACACCACTGCACAGGGGCACATAACAACTGCCCAACCACCTATGGAAAACACATAATTTATATAATAATAATAATAATGTACATAAACAATGTTTAATAACTGCTACAGATGAACTTGTATGCTTGAGAAAAAAACATTACATTCTCCTGGCAGAAGGACTTTTTAACACTGTGGAGTAAACAGACGCAACTGCAGATCTAACTGCACAGAGAAAGATGCATCTTACCTGAAGCTCCCCAGACCTTCTCAAAGATCTTGTCATAAGATGACCTGTTCTTCATTTCATCCTCTTAGGATGAGGTCCATTTTTGAGCCTTTTGAGTCAAGGCCACATTGCTTGCACAGTTTTCGAACCATGTCCACCTATTATTTTAACAAGAAATAATATTTAGCTTAATTCAAACAGTGAATTAATGATCAGTGTAACAAGCCTTTACCTTGAGATTAATTAGTGCATCTTGGAGCCTCTCCTCTGTCATTTGGAGATCTGCCATTTCAGTAGCCTGTCTTGGTGCATGAACCTTTTCATATTCTGTGTTAAAAACTTTGTCATCCCTTCTAGTTTTTGGTCCAATCCAAGGAGCCCAGTTGTTATAACTTGGAACAACCACAAAGGGGTTCTTTCGACCACCTTGAAATAATAAAAAAAACTGCATAATTACAAAACACATGTTTTTTTGGAAAAACCATGCAGCTGTAATCAATAACTCTTGAGTAAATACAGGAGCAGACATGTTAGTAACTTGTGTGAACCCACACTCAAATTTACTTTCAATTAAGAATGTTGCCATAGTCAACAACTGTGATTAAGATGAAACAATAGTAGTAACATGCAAAGTCTATATCACAATACTATCACTGCAATCTTGTGGGGAACAGACAAGCCCTATACTTTAAGTGAAGAGACACAAGTAAGTTGATTACTTACAGGTAAGTAAGCCACTGCAAATGATTTCAGACGTCACAGAGTCCCAAAATTTTTTGATATTGACAGTGCTGTAATGTCTCTGATTACTTAATTTTAGGGAATTATGAATTAATTCAGGGTTTGAAAGGACTCGAATCTGAAAATTTGAGGTCCACCTGATTAAAACTGAATTCCAATTTGATAGTTTACACTTTAAATCAACGGTCGTCCAGCGAGCCGTTGACCTCAATATATTGTAGCATGTTCAAACATGTTGTGTTATAGATAACAATGTGCTTAATGTTAGTGTTGCACTGTATTCATTTTTGTGTTGCGAACTGTTATTGGATGTTCGAGTTGGATGTGAAAAGAGGCTCTGCCCCTGTGTGTGTGTAAAGGGGCGGTCACACTAGACTTTGAACGTGCAAAATTTTTTCGGAAGCCGCTGCGATATGGGCGGGAGCAGGATATGACATCACGCACCAAGGTTATCACAACATCGATTCAGATGTGCTTGTACTGTGTCTTTTGCGACGGCGTCGACTCGGAATGAGTTCCATTCTTTAATTCAGGAGCTTCGGCTGGATGAGGATCGCCACAAGGAGTACTTTCGGCTCTGTCATATTTTATTACCATTTTTTTAACTATAGTGAATAAACTGTATTAATGAATGAAATGTTCAAGGTGTCTGAATAAATTTTGGTTTGACTGTACATATATAATACATTTTTAAGTGCAGTGCTTTAAGTGCTGTAGGATTTTCCCTTTAAATAGGTAATTTTATACGTTCTTGAGGTGTGCATTATTCTGAAAATATAAAATAATGAACAACATTAAGTAATTTAATAATAATACACTTGTGTATAGTAATTATATTGTTCTCTCTCTATATATATTAGATTTTTATAATCTTTTAAAGATGTATTATATAAAATAGGATGCTGCGCTACGGCTAAAATTAGCGCTTCCTCCATTTTTGAATTTCTGTACAGAGAGGTCACGCAGTGACGTATCGATCTTCTACTGGTCACACGTCTTCACGTGATGCAAATTCGCAGGTCAGAGTTCACCAATCTTGAACTTTGGAACGCAGCGAAATGCGAAATTTTTCGCATGAGCTTGCGTTTCCGGTCTGACGCATTTGCATGCGTATGAATGGAAGTCAATGGAACGAAAAGTGCAGTGTGACCACCCCTTAGGGGAAAGAGAGAGAAGGAGGGGGGAGAAAGAGTGCCTCGCTGGTTCAAGTGCGGTTCTCTTGGAAGTCGGGGTGTGTACGGCGTGGGTTGTGGCCGACAACAGCCCAAATAAACACCCCTTGTACATCAAAACGCCTCGTCCTTGTCTGAGAACGCTACAACATTTTAACAATTTGAATATTTGTATTTCCCTGGCCACGGGCTAATACGTTCTTTGATAAGTAAGCTACGAGCTAGGTAACGTGATCTTGGCAAGGTTTGACTTTAAAATTATACGACACCAGACAATGATTGTTTATAAATGAAACACAAATTTTATTGACTATTCTAGATTACATTAAAACTAAGCTAAAACACACACACATTTACATACAGTTCTGAAGAATGAAAGTTACGGAGTTTGTATGAAGTTCCCAAAGTTCTTACTCATTTCCACGAGTGGTTTTAAATTCAACCCGAGAGAATCACAAAGCAGAGATTTTCTTATCTTTACTGCTTAACTCAATTCACCAGTTCAGCACCTATTTCAGCAGATGTAAGATTTGTTTGTA